TTCTCTGAATTACTGAAACTTTAAGTAATGTGTCGCTAAGAAACAACATTCCGGATTATTGGCCAATTGGGAACCGTCGGCACTTTACGTCTTTACGGAAAGTGCCAACGGTTCCCGAATAGATTATTGGCCTGTAATAAATCCGGACTAACAAAGTTCCACTGTAGATTAGTCTATAGAAGAAGCATTTATTTGAAATGTAAAGACACCGGTCTATGCAACATCAAGCGAAACGAGTGTCCTCACAGAGATCTTTAGAGATAAAGTTATATAAACTACGTTTCAGAGTAAATATATGTGGTTTGTACTAGAGTGGCCTCATTTTCAGATAATTGATACAGAATAATATTTTTCTTAGGAATTCCCTTTACCTGTTTTCATTCATGAGGTGATTTAATACAATTTAAGGAGATATGCTATCTTACTAACTTTCATCTCCTATCAAAAGTGTGTAAAATAAGTTGACGAATATTAATTTAGGACTTGATTAATTGATTGACAAAAGATTGCTGAAATTAACAGTTTACAATAGCACGATATATACCCAATTAGAATTCAACTATGAAAACTAAGCTTCCAACCTGACTATATTATTTAATGTATTTTGGCCGGAAATATCCATCACAATTATTGATAAATTATCATTTGATCAAAGAAAAGCCATGAGGTGTACACCCCATTAATAGTTACTAGTTTCTTTATCGTCAATACGAGCGCTGGCATTAACTCGTACAATAGGCCCTTACCCTATGAGTTTCTAGTACTGAATGATTGCCAGTTAGTTCAAGCAGCAATGCCTTTGTAACGATTTTAACGATTTATAGCTGTACTTTCAATTTTGAAAAGGAAGTGTGAAATTGAGCGAGATAATATTTATTTATAAATGTGCTACTTCAAACCACCTAGGATGCTGTTTTCACTGATGATGGTCCATCACTACCTCTCGGACGATTCCGGCAAGCATCGCAGTCAGCTCCGATTTTCGCCGGACGTTACCGAGATGCTACGTTTCTTATTTGATACCTTAACATTTAAATCGCGCCCTTGTGTTAAATTGCAGTTTGATCCATGAATATGATTAACAATAAAATGAAGTATATACATTTGGGGTGTGTTTTATGTGTTATAGCTAATAATTTTGATGTTGTAATAAAAAGTCACAGTGTTAAGTACGCGACCCTCGACCAATATCAGCATTCGGGCTTCCGAACCCTCGGGTTGATATGGATGTCTAGGGTTAGGATACGGGGTAGGACATTGCAAATGGTCATATACTAGCCTCTTGATATTGTTTGCATGTATTATTTGTATGATTTATTTGTATTTTTTATGTATGAATTAAATACACATATAGGTTCACATGTTTGTCAGGCAATTGTGATCTGATAGAAATATCTCGGCCAACTCAGTCAAAGTACGATTGAATTTGTTCTTCGTTACATTATGTGAGAGCAGTACCTACATTAAGGATCCCTGTCCCACTGCACTATGGGTTTCGGATATACAGTAATCTCCCCTTAATTTCGTTTTGTGATATAGCAGTCTATAACATAGTCTAGTTCGAAGTTTGAGATGAGAAATGCTTTTGTCTTTGCAGGGTTGAAATTTACCAGCCACTTATCCGTCCAATCCTGAATTTTCCTAGGTTATTATTAATAGTGCTTTCGATGTTCCGTGGAGATGTATCCGAACATACTTAAGACGTATCGTCTGCAAATAATTTGGATAAGCTTTTAAGATTATAGATATATCATTTATATATAAAATATAAAGTAAAGGGCCTAGTACTGAGCCTTGTGGTACTCCAGCATTAGTACATTTAATAGAAGGTTATCATTACCAATAAAAACGTGCTGCCTCCTATCACTAACATAATTACTCAGCCAATCTAATAATTTTCCAGTTATACCATAGCTAGCTAGTTTCACTTTTAGTCCCTTATGGCACACACGATCGAATGCTTTAGATATATCACAAAAATACTAAGCAAGTAGGGTGCCTTGTTTTCTAAATTTTCGCATAATGTGTGATAAATTTCTATCATTTGATGAACAGTAGAGTGACAATGCTGAAATCCAGATTGATATTTATATATTAATGAATTATCTAACAAATAGTTATTTAAATATTTTACTACTAGCCGTTCCAAGACTTTCCCAACTGTGCTTAATAAAGCAACTGGTCTATAACTAGCAGAATCTTGTTTATCTCCCTTTTTAAATGAAGGCATCACTAAAGCTTGTTTCCTTTGGCTTGGAAAGATACCAGTCTCCAAAGAAGATTTAAATATAAGAGATAGAGGAAGAGCTACTGAGGTTGCTGTAGTTTTCAACAGCTTTACTAACATTTAAAGATGTCAGAATGTCTATAATGTCATTAGTGTTGAGAGGTATGTCAGATACAGTAGAGTTTGTCCTAAGTTCTACCGTCGGTACGTCAAAGTTTGTATCGTCAATAGTAGAAATGGAGGGAAAACAAATGTTTAGAATATTAGCTTCAGTGTCGTTTGCTGTTTCTACGTTTCCAGTTCATTTCTAAGGGGAGGTATACTATTGAAGTTATCGGAAATTTGTATTAATCTGCGGACAATTTTTCAAAAGTTTTTAGGGTACGAATCGGAATATTGATCTAAAATGCCATTTATATCTGCATAAAAACGTTCTTTTGTCCGCTTTTTAAGATTATTCCCATGATTACGTTGTTTCCGAAAGTTGGTTAAATCGTTTGGGGAACAGTGTGATTTAAATAATTGAAGTAGTTTATCTCTTTTCCTGATTTCTCGTCGTAAATTAGAATTGAACCAAGGTTTGTCATTAGGTCGAATCGTCACTTATTTTGTTGGTATACACTCCCTGGAAAAGTTTTTAAAAAGTCGATGTAAAAATTTCACACATGACATCTGTGGAGTGCACCCTCGAAACTAAGTCCGTCCGGTCTGTCGCATGTAATTTATGGTTGAAGAGTTCGTACACAGTGTCTTTATTAACAGTTACTTTCCTTTTATATGTCATTTCAAAGTTAGTCCCCGCTGTCAATTCCACTGTCGTCGCTTGGTGATCGGAAATGTCCTTTTCGATGTCGATTACGTCAGCGAAACTAACAGTACATGTGTCAGAGAGTAGAACTGGGTCAAGTAGGGTAGAGCACGCGCAACCAATGCGAGTCGGTTTGTTAATAACGTTTGACAAGTGGAAGGAGTGTATAATATCGTGATTGGCATGGGTATTTTCTACAACTAAGACTTAGAGGTCTACATTAATGTCACCAACTATTACTACGTACGGAGTTTCTTGAAAGGCATTTTCCAGGGAGTGTTGAATGTGATTCCAGAAGGAGCGTGCACTATTCGGAGGTCTATAATCAGACGCTACTTGTTAACAATATGCAACCTATACTGGACTCGTGAATATATATATAAAACAGTCATTTGAACTGAGGAGTGTGGTCCTGGCTTCTGTGTAAGTTTATGTATTGTTAACTATCGCAGTTTCTTTGTTTATTTGTGGTGTTATTATTTGCCTTCAAGTTACTTTAAATGAGCAATACAATTATTGAATTGAGTTGTTCTAAATATGACAACTTATTTCTCAGATTATGAATGTTCAAGTGACATATAGATATATCATTAGTATGGTTTGTAGGGCCTGGGTTATGATGGAAAGCAAAGCTAAGATGTTAGGCTGGATGGTGAAGTGCCTAACTCTTGTTTTATGATACTATAGTGTTATTAATCAGCTTATATCATATTGGCCCAGTTATTAGGCCTTGGTCTGTGATATTGGCCCTACTTTGTGTGGACATTGCACGATATTTTTAAGTTATTTCCATTCTCAAACACTCGTACACCGAGTGTCTGGGGAATGTATTTTTTTCCATGATATAACTAGTTATGTCCACACAACTCCTACAACATTTTACTAGTTACTATTCATGATTATTGTTTTATATATACTGTTCACCTTCATATACAACATATACATATTCGTATATTTCTATAAATCTTCATTACTGTTTTGCATGACACTCGTTATTGCACGTTAACGTTTACAGTTATTAAATTTACTTAAGCAAAAATTAAGAGATACATTTTTTTTTCACCTTTCAACATACATGATTGGGTGGATGAGGGTTATACATGATGGGGAAATATCCACTTTCATGTTGGTTATTATGTTTATAAATTTTGTTCTGACTATAACATGTACCTACGCGAAACTAAACAAAATTAATACAACTTTTTTTTTTTTTATTTAATGTGACTAACAATTATGATTTTTTAACATTATTGAAATCTTGGTTTCAAGACACAAGCTATGCGTGTCTGCATGACTTGCTGCAATGTTAGTAGACATGTAACTCGGTGACTGTTAGATCTCGCAGCATCCTCAGTAACGAGGGGTGGGATCAATTGGAACAGATGAGGTTGGTTTTTAATCAGAACTTTGTCAGCGGTCGGTGAGGTCTTTACAAAGATTCGTCCGTCTGTGGTCCAATAGGTATCGATGGTTTTACTCCATTTGGCCCTTCCTAGTAGCTTGACTATGGACCGACGTGTTTTTGTGAGGTCTTTAGTAAGAAAGATTTTTTTTTCGCGGTCGTGTTTAGAGTTCCGCTTGTTTCTGAAAACTTCATTTTTAACGTTCCAGCTGCGGAATCTGAAGATTAACTGGTATTTACCATCACGGTCAGTCGGTTATAGCGACAGTTTAACAATCTGTGGTCCAGTTTCCAATCCGTAGTTTCAGTTTTTGAGCAGTGGTACGGGTCCTTACATAAATAACCGTCGACTTATATTCTGTCTGAAATATGTATTTTCTGTATACTCCCTGATCAAATCCACACCTCAGCCAGCGCTATCAAAACATTGTGGTCAACACCTTCAAGTTACACTTGCCAGAGTGACCTCCCCTCTCCCTCAGGAATTCCGCCTCATTCCCAACAACGGACACTTCCGGTTAATTTGAGTAAATAGTTTTCAAATTAAAACGCATACAACTAAGTTTACATATAAAGATTGTATTTTTATGACATAAAGACACAACATGAAATTAGCGACGGTCACGAGGACGAGACAACAAAATAACGGAAATTATATAAAAATATAAAATATAAAAACATTTCAATGAAGACTCATCTCCTCTCGTCAGCTGTTTCATTAGCTAATGTACTGGATGAACTTAACGGAAACTGTATTTCCTAATTACTCAAACGTAGAACAATAGCTGCCGAGAAATAATCTTTGTTATACCACAATGACTATTTTTTCTCGTGGTACATAAAAAGACACTCACTTTCTCTTTTAAGCTCCCACCACATACGAAAATAGCATAGTAACATTTAAAACTGTTCCTTGGACTTCAGGAACCCTGCTCAATCCACACCGGTTCTGTCTCTCCATCCGTCTCAAAAAGCGGATTGTTTATGCTACACTGAAAAAGCATGTATCTAGTTTACTCAAAGCGTCATGACATCGAATCCTGTTTCATGAGCACTGTTTATGATTTCACTTCCGGTATGGCTTTGGCCTCCTCACTTCCGGTGTCTGTCCCATCAGATTGGAGAACTGCAATCGGAATCTGTCAAAAATACAAACACTGTAAATTAACAGCTTATTTCAATGAATTTTATCGTAATAACATTTTTGTAACAGGATATGCAAATTAAAAAAATAATAGCTGGTTTTCCAATACTTGAAATGATCACGGAATTATATTGCTATCTAAGTCCGTGAAATGACCGAATCCTTAATGCATTTGCATATAAGTGTGCATAGCGTCACTAAGGCACCTATATATAACACATGATGTAGCAAAATTCATAGAGCATTAGTCAGACACGGATTTAGATTTTATCTTAGTTAATGTTTTCTATCAGAATATCTTATAAATGGTCTTACCTGGTGTTTCCCAGAATGCAGCTGTGACAAGACGGTTCTTTTCTATCCAGTCGTTAGACTCATGTAAGTGATAACAATCCCACAATGCAATATGTCCTTTGGGCTTACCCCCTGTATTAGAGTACGTGATAATCTGAAGTATCCCCTGTTTACCCCAATATTTTTTCTTCATGTTGACTGCGTTGACTTGATGTAACACTGATAGGTCTGGTTCTCCATATTTGTCAGCTAGGTAAGGTCCGAATGCTATGGCATGGTAAATATACTGTAGCCCATTCCTGCCAACGAAACTATCGCCGAAGCGCCCCGATAATTTAATGGGCGACCGACCAAGTGAATGCGGCGGCCCTAGTTTGTTGAGAACAGACGACAGGCGAATGGCACTGGTGTCGTGTGGAAATCCAATATGGTGAACCACCCCGACTGAATGAAGAATGTCGGAGTGAGTGAACTGTCCTCCGAAGTGTTTCTGGCCGGGGTAGTAGAGCTTCAGCTTTTGGAAAGATGGTAATTGTACCTATAATGAGAAAGAAAAGCAATAAAGTTCAGTGTATAATGAGCAAATATCCAGGGGGGGGGGGGGATTGGCGGTGCTCGGGATGCTTATCACATACATTGTATGACCGTATTGTGTGCTGATTCCACCTCTATATGATCAATAATTCGATTCATCCATCCATGGTTATTTTTTTATGCTACTTCAATAGCATCATGGTCAATGGCACCAAAATATAGGACTTGTGACACATCAGCCGTTATCATTTTTGGGTTATTTCAACACACCATATTTATTGTGCTAAATAACATAATATGTGTGTGCTTACTACATGTATCTATATACTGTGTTATTCAGTCAACAAATCCTTACGTTTTGTACTAATTTAACAAGTACATCCACAGGTAACGTGCTAATTCATTTTTCCATCCATAGGTATTGTGCTAATTTAGCATATCTATACTTTTTGTGCTAATGTGCTAATTTAATGGTACCATACTAATTTAATAGTATTGAGCTAATTCAATAGTACCATACTTATTCACCAGTATTGTGTTTATTCAATAGTACTATATTAATTCACCAGTATTGTGTTAATTCAATTGTACCATACTGATTCAACAGCAATGCGCTATTATTTTAACGGTACCATACTAATTCACCAGCATTGTGTTAATTCAATACTATTGTGCTTATTCTATTTTATTGATGCTAACTTAGCACATCCGAGCTTGCTGTACTAACTTAACACATTCGTTTGCTTCGTGCTAATTTAACACATCGAAACGTAGTATGCGTAATCGATAGTATTACATGCTAATTGCTAATTTAGCATACTCATACGTATCATTCTTATTCAATAGTATTATGCTAAATCAATAGTATTGCTATACATTTCAATACGTACTGTGCTGATTCAACACATTCATGCGTGACATTTTTACTGACTAGCAAGTCGTTTAAGATATTTTATGATAGGTAAAAAAACCGTTTAATAGCATATAAAACTCCACCGATGAAAAGCTAAACGAATGTAGACACTACAATGTTATAGTGATTAATTCCCGTCAATTGGGGCGGAACAGATAGAAGACCACGGTATCTGCATCCGTAAAATGTATGTTAAAGATAAGTGTATCTGTTGATTTCAAATTATACTTTTTCCCATCGGGGTTTTTAATCTGTAATTTTAAACATGTAGCTCATTTGTCTGTTTGTATTTAATCAAATTTAATCAACAGGCCAACAGACATACCTATGATTTTTGGTTAATTCTTATCATGAGTTGATTGAAATAAAATTTTAATGAAACGGAATAGTAGATGAATGGTTTTACTCGTTTAACGTTTTTACTGTTCTGTATTAGCCTACACAACCTTCGAGTAATGTATTTATACGTAAGTGAAGTAACACTCACCTTTTCCGGGTGGATTTCGTAAGGTAGGCCACTGAATAAGCTGACAATCAGGAAGATATGCTTCATCTTGGATGAGCTGTGGATTCATGAAAGAAACTTGAGGTTATCGGGATATTTGTTAAAACTGTGTATTTTAAACAAATTTTGCACCTGCCATTTTACCGCTTTTTAAAATACAAGGTAAACAAGTTGTCACGAGATGATCAACAACTTCTGAAAGGCAGACGCTATTTTGATGAACAGATTTTTTTTTAATTCTTTGTGTTGTATGAGAAATGTGATTGGACACAGTGTTAAAGTGACAAGGATTAATTTATGCAAAGAAGGCGTGGTTATCTTTGGCGCTATTTCATCAACCCCGCCCACGAAATGAATCCTCTTTTCCCCGGCGTCACGCCTACCTCGGAGGAACAGGTTTCGATCAGGTGGAAGGAACTCTCGTTGTTTGTACGGTCTTACACGGTTCCACTCGAGTAAATCTCAAACATTTCCACTGCAGGTGATGTTCTACTGTCGCTGAAATGAACATCACATATATTAGTCATAGATTGCCATGTATATACTTATATATAGCCCAGCTAACAGATCAGGTTACGCTTTCCAACATGTCGGCTGTGTGTTATCAAATAACTGAATAACCGAGGTGTTTTCCCTTAAAAAAACGAAACATAAAATTCATTTTGATACTACTATGAATTGTATGCGTGCTCGAAGTTTTATCATTATTTTCTGCTGTTGACAATTTTACCCATTGTCTTATTTTCTAACATATCCTACCCTGAGCGCACAATCAACGGGAGAAGTTTTTGGTGATTAACATAAAATATTTCACTATCTAGGAGGGATTAATGGACGATTTTCTACTGTGATTTGTTACGTGTGCCGTAAACACGCTACGAAACAGAATACTATATTGTGGTTTCCCCATATTAATTTGTTATGTTCATGCATTTTACATCCATGCAAAATTCATAACTTTTGTCCTCCACCGAAACTTTTTCTCGTTTACATCGTAGCAAGAAAGTAAATAGTATATTGTCACAATACTAAGTTATAAGTGTATACAAAATCTCCCTTTTTTGGTAAAACCATATATTATACGTTTCTTCTTTGAATTGAAAAGTAATATTACAAGTGTACCAAGTAGTAAAATTAAAGATAAATGGTACCTTAATCATGCTTTGTGCATGTGTAAGTTATCTCCCCTTAAAACTATCATAATCTTATAAATGTTGCTTAAATGGAGTCAGTGATTGAATTATTTTGCGCATTACAAATAGTTCATAAGTTATTTGATCATTCAGGTTTCAGTGCGTAATTCGTTTGAATGGAGAGGTGTGTCACACCCATGTAGCATATACCTTTAACATAAACTAGAAGTTTAATTATCCCTGTCCCATAGAAGGCAAAACTCTAGAGAGTTCCAACAATGTATTTTTTTTTTATTATGTGCAGTAACACCCATCCCCAGGAAACAAGAGTCTGACTGAACGAGACTAAAGTAGTAACCTATGAGTATTCGCGCTTGTAAAAACCACAGGGAATTGAATACAAACGCATCTCATTTTCACGGATTTATTTATTTCTTAATACTTTATGGCACGTACTAATACTAATTCGTGGTTCTTAGGTCGTCTCATAGCGGTTCGCAAATTATTATCCGTGATTATAGGGCCTTTGCAACCAGCCAATATCTTTCTCAACGGTGCTGCCATTTTGGCACTCCCAGGCAGTATTCAACAATTCTAGCACTGCCCAACCACTAACTCAACAATTCTAGCACTGCCCAACCACTTACTCAACAATTCTAGCACTGCCCAACCACCTACTCAACAATTCTAGCACTGCCCAACCACTAACTCAACAATTCTAGCACTGCCCAACCACTTACTCAACAATTCTAGCACTGCCCAACCACCTACTCAACAATTCTAGCACTGCCCAACCACTAACTCCACAATTCTAGCACTGCCCAACCACTAACTCAACAATGACTTGAACCCGCAACCCTTCGGTCATATTAGGCGTACGCGTCCTACCACTGGACTACCGTGCCTACAACGTCGAAATAATACGGTAATTCAGAACAACACTTAGAACTTGGTAAACGACAGGTTCCATGATACCCACAAAATGTAACAAAAAGGCCTGAATGGAAAGTAATCAGGTAAATTTGAAGGGAACCGAATGCTTTTTTAGATTGAATACGGTAAAATGTGCATCCCAAGTGAATAAAATGCAACGGGAGATACCGGATGAAACCCAATGATAACACGATATACATATTTTATATATAAAAATATATTTCTTTACCGTGACGATGTTAAAAGCCCCTATTAGTGTGGCTGGTATCACTTGACTAGATTTTATAATTTTACTTCAAGTACATTAAGGCGAAAAGATGAAACTTTCCACCTGTATGCGAATTTCTTTGATTTTTATATGAGAGTTGTAAAAGTAAACTTGTTATTTTTTTTGAAACTATTTTTTTTTATCAAAGGCTGATTTAAATATGTTTAAAAAAGGTACGAAAAGTAATGCAAATTTGTATTGATGTCACGTTCGCGAGCATCTCGAGATTTTTTACGAAGCCACCGCGAAGATTTTCGTCTTAATACGTAATTTTTAATAGAATGTTCCGAATCATTGAATTAAAAGTTGCATGCACTTGCGAATAGAATTAAAGAGAACGAACCTGTAGTCGGTATCGAACTCACCACCCACAATGTAGAAACATATAATAGCTTTTTGAAGTACTCGTCAGGTGGCAGGTCACAGGTTAAATCTCCGAAGGTCCGGGACAAAATGATTTATCATCAAAACATGAAAAATATATAGTGTAAACACGCCAGGACAAAACTGTAACTCAAAACGAAACGAAGACACAAACCGGTAACTGAAGAGATTCCAACAGTATACACTAAACAAATATCAAAACACAAGGAGCTAGGAAGATACCAAAAAACAGGAATAGAGGAGTTTCTGAATTATTAACAAGAGCATTGGTGATACCAAACTACAGGAAATGGGGTGATACAAAACAACAGGAGCTGAGGAGACACCAGAACAGCAGGAACTGAGGAGACAACAAACAGCAGGAACTGTGGAGACACCAAACAGCAGGAACTGAGGAGACACCAAACAGCAGGAACTGAGGAGACACCAGAACAGCAGGAACTGAGGAGACACCAGAACAGCAGGAACTGAGGAGACACCAAACAACAGGAGCTGAGGAGACACCAAACAACAGGAGCTGAGGAGACACCAGAACAGCAGGAACTGAGGAGACACCAAACAGCAGGAACTGAGGAGACACCAAACAGCAGGAACTGAGGAGACACCAAACAGCAGGAACTGAGGAGACACCAAACAGCAGGAACTGAGGAGACACCAAACAGCAGGAACTGAGGAGACACCAGAACAGCAGGAACTGAGGAGACACCAAACAGCAGGAACTGAGGAGACACCAAACAGCAGGAACTGAGGAGACACCAAACAGCAGGAACTGAGGAGACACCAAACAGCAGGAACTGAGGAGACACCAAACAGCAGGAACTGAGGAGACACCAAACAGCAGGAACTGAGGAGACACCAAACAGCAGGAACTGAGGAGACACCAAACAGCAGGAACTGAGGAGACACCAAACAGCAGGAACTGAGGAGACACCAAACAGCAGGAACTGAGGAGACACCAGAACAGCAGGAATTGAGGAGACACCATAACAGCAGGAATTGAGGAGACACCAGAACAGCAGGAACTGAGGAGACACCATAACAACAGGAATTGAGGAGACACCATAACAGCAGGAATTGAGGAGACACCAGAACAGCAGGAACTGAGGAGACAACAAACAGCAGAAACTGTGGAGACACCAAACAGCAGGAACTGAGGAGACACCAAACAACAGGAACTGAGGAGACACCAAACAGCAGGAATAGAGGAGACACCAGAACAGCAGGAACTGAGGGACACCAAACAGCAGGAACTGAGGGACACCAAACAGCAGGAACTGAGGAGACACCAAACAACATGAACTGAGGAGACACCAAACAACAGGAGCTGAAGAGACACCAAACATCAGGAGCTGAGGAGACACCAAACAACAGGAATTGAGGAGACACCAGAACAGCAGGAATTGAGGAGACACCAGAACATCAGGAACTGAGGAGACACCAGAACAGCAGGAGCGGAGGAGATACAACAGGAATTGAGGAAACACCAGAACAGCAGGAAAGGAGACACCAGAACAGCAGGAACTGAGGAGACACCAGAACAGCAGGAACTGAGGAGATACCAAACAACAGGAATTGAGGAGATACCAGAACAGCAGGAATTGGGGAGATACCAGAACAACAGGAAGAGGATATACCAGAACAGCAGGAATGGAGGAGACACCAGGACAGCAGAAACTGAGGAGACACCAGAACAGCATAAGCTGAGGAGACACCAAACAACAAGAGCTGAGGAGACACCAGAACAGCAGGAACTGAGGAGACACCAGAACAGGAGGAACTGAGGAGACACCAAACAACAGGAATTGAGGAGACACCAGAACAGCAGGAACTGAGGAGACACCAAACAACAGGAATTGAGGAGATACCAGAACAACAGGAAGAGGAGACACCAGAACAGCAGGAACTGAGGAGACACCAGAACAGGAGGAACTGAGGAGACACAAAACAACAGGAATTGAGGAGACACCAGAACAGCAGGAACTGAGGAGACACCAAACAACAGGAATTGAGGAGATACCAGAACAGCAGGAATCGGGGAGATACCAGAACAACAGGAAGAGGATATACCAGAACAGCAGGAATGGAGGAGACACCAGGACAGCAGAAACTGAGGAGACGCCAGAACAGCAGAAGCTGAGGAGACACAAAACAAAAGGAATTGAGGAGACACCAGAACAGCAGGAACTGAGGAGATACCAAACAACAGGAATTGAGGAGATACCAGAACAGCAGGAATTGGGGAGATACCAGAACAACAGGAAGAGGATATACCAGAACAGCAGGAATGGAGGAGACACCAGGACAGCAGAAACTGAGGAGACACCAGAACAGCATAAGCTGAGGAGACACCAAACAACAAGAGCTGAGGAGACACCAGAACGGCAGGAACTGAGGAGACACCAGAACAGCAGGAACTGAGGAGATACCAAACAACAGGAATTGAGGAGATACCAGAACAACGGGAAGAGGAGACACCAGAACAGCAGGAACTGAGGAGAC